AAAAATAACCAGGTCGGGGTCAAATACAGTCACCGGATCACAGTGTGTGAGAGGACTGTGTGGTCACTTGAGATTTTGAGAGAAGGTGGTGAGTGCTACCACAAAACGGCTACAACAAAGCTATGTCCAATCAAAATAATTGCCATAGATGACAGGGTCAATCACAGAAATGTTGGGAAATTCCATGGGAAGTGTCCTCCTATGACAAGGGCAGCTTTTTCCTAGTTGGTGCTTCTTTCAGATTCTAGAGCAGTGCGTCCTGGGCTTTTCTGAAGCACCTGCACCAAGGGGGTGGAGCAAAGAAATGGGGGGGGGGGTGTTTTAAGGTTTCCAAGCCCAGGGCCATATGAAAGCCTATGCTTATTACCAAGCTGAGAGTGCATGGCTGTGATCCACTTGCCTGGGATGGATTTAATGCTTCCCAGTCTGGGGGGGGGGGTTCCTGTTCCATTCAAGACCCTTGGCTTTTCTCTCCGAAACCCAAGTTTATGCTCTGGGTTGGCTCTTAACAGTTTGTTAATTTTAATAATTTCATGCTTTTTATGTTCTCTGGAGAGGTGGTACATAAATGTTCTAAGCAACTTAAGAAGCTAGGGTGATGCCAGGGAATGCATTGGTGCCCATCACAGTACCCTCAGGGTGCCATTTTTAGAGACCGTTCTAACCCTCCCCCAAGAGTGTAGAGCAGTGCAAGCAGAGGCACATACAAGCTGGAGTGAAGGAATCTTATGTTTATATTTTAATACAAATAAGACCGTATTTGAGGTCTTCATAATTTTGCTTGAGGACTGCAAGGGTCTGAAAGGTCGTGGACATACTAATATCGGGCAAGCATATCCTTTTTAATCGCCCTGTTATCTCAGTTCATAACCAATATATTACTCTCTGGACTGACCGTCTACAGAACATTTCAGAGCAACGGAAACTAAAGATCTTACTGTATAAATAAAGATCATACTTGAATGAAACTTTGTTGGTCTTAAAGGTGCCACTGAACTCAAACTTGGTTCTACTGCTTCAAACCAACACAGCTACCCACCTGGATCTAAAGATCTTACTGTCTGGCAAGATTTAAAAGTGCATGTGTGGTTTAGCCATATTTATCAATGCAGTTACAAACTACTTATAAAATACTCCAATGTATGGCTTGTAGGCTGAAAAGTTACAGGGAAAGGAAATATTGAGCAAGATCCAGCACATCAAGCACTTTCTAGTCCTCATTAATGGGAGAAGTAAATTGTGCTGTCCCAAAATCAGCAAGGCCTAATTGCTTAATTTTGGTTCAGTTGGATAGGCCTACGGTGTCATTATTTCTATATAGTTAGGGCTGAATTTTATTTGGAATGTATTTATCTGTGCACAAAAGGCAAACAGTGTCAGGCAAACTTTGAAGGGAAAGATCTTTAATTTCACAGCTGATTGGATAGTTGTTTAGTGAAAACCAAAATTAATGAGTTTGTGTGTGTGTGTCTGAAAACTCATTTCAGTTCTTGCTTCTTGAAGTCTGTGTACACTAGATAAAGGCAGATGCACAAGGCTGTGGTCTGCTACTGAGTCAACCTGGGTAACTATAATTCATGTATGTTCATTCCAGAGGGATAGCTGTGTTAGCCTCCGTTCCCCAACATATTAGTAAAATGCAAGTATTAACTTACATACCTTGAGGTTATGCAGATACGGTTAGCGGTCAGAATCAGGGCTCACTCCATCAAATGCATGAAGTGCTTATTCATTAGGAAGTTACAAGTAATAGGTGTACACTCCATAAATATGATGAAGTGAGCACTGGCTCATGACAAGCTTATCTTGGGGGGAACAGGATTTAAAGTGTCCTTGCACTCCTGTATAATTTTTATTTATTTATTATTTATTTTATTTATTTGACTTTTACCCTGCCCTCCCCGCCGAGGCAGGCTCAGGGCAGCTCCTATAAAACTAATAAAACAATATATATCTTATAAAATTACAGATACATCAATTAAAAGTATTAATATCGATGGTGATACAAAACAGTAAAGTGCAATTGGAGACACGTTCAGCGGTGCCACCGCGCTAGGCCACTTCTGGGTCTGAGTCCACACAGGGCGCAGCTGGTAAGGTGCCGCTCCTATTGGAATGCCTGCCTAAAAAACTCCGTTTTCACAGCCCTGCGGAAGGTCCTGCAGGGCCCTGATCTCGCTAGGGAGCTGATTCCAATAGGACGGAGCTGCCAGAGAGAATGCCCTGGTCCTTGTCAATGTCAACCTTGTGGCCTTCAGGCCAGGGAGGACCAGGCAGTTTTGAGACCCTGATCTCAGTGCTCTCTGGGGAACATGCGGGGAAAGGTGGTCCCTCAGATAGGCTGGTCCCTGACCATAAAGGGCTTTAAAGGTCAAAACCAGCACCTTGAAGCGAATCCGGTATGCTATTGGCAGCCAGTGCAATGTCTTTAGCACAGGCTGGATATGCTCCCACCTGGGGAGACCCATCAACAGCCTGGCTGCCGCATTTTGCACTAGCTGCAGCTTCTGGAGTTGCACCAAGGGCAGCCCCATGTAGAGAGCATTGCAGTAGTCCAACCTCGAGGTGACCATTGCATGGATGACTGCAGCTAGATCATAGCATTTGAGGAAGGGAACCAACTGCCTAATCAACCGAAGTTGGTAGAAGGCTGCCTTGGCAATGGCTGCTACCTGGGCCTCCATTGTTAAAGAAGCATCCAGGAGCACTCCCAAGCTCCTGACCCTCAGCGCTGGCACCAACGGTGCCCCATCAAAGGCCAGGAGTGGGATCCCCACCCGTGCGCCACCCCAGCCCACACACAGGACCGCTGTCTTCATTGGATTCAATATCAATCGACTCAGTCTAAGCCATCCAGGCACGTCCTGTAATGCCCAGTCCAGGTCTTCTGGGGTAGAGCCAGACTGGCCACCCAACAGCAGATAGAGCTGGGTGTCATCCGCATATTGGTGACATCCCAGCCCATGCCTCCTGGCACTCTGGGCACGGGGGTGCATATAGATGTTAAATAGCATTGGGGAGAGCACGGCCCCTTGAGGCACTCCACATACTAGGGGTGCCTTCGGGACTGCTGCTTCCCAATAGCCACCCTTTGTCCCTGACCTTGGAGAAAGGAGACAAGCCATTGCATGGCAAGCCCCTGAATTCCCATGTCGGTGAGGTGGTGGGCGAGTAGCTGGTGGTTGACTGTGTCAAATGCTGCCGACAGGTCTAACAACAGCAGAACCGCCATCCCGCCACGATACAGGTGCCTCCGGAGGTCATCTATGAGGGCGACCAGTGCTGTCTTCGTCCCATGACCTGGGAGGAAGCCGGACTGGAAAGGATCTAGCATGGAAGCGTCATTCATAAAGCTCTGCAACTGTATTGCCGCCGCCCTCTCAATTAATTTGCCCAGATAAGGCAAATTGGAAACCGCCCAATAATTAGGCAGTTTGGCTGGCTCTAGAGATGTTTTTTTAAGGAGAGGACGGACCATCGCTTCCTTGAGAGCCCCCCGGGAACAGCCCCTCAGAGAGGGACTTGTTGATAATATCCCTGAGAGCACCTCGAAACCCCTCGCGGCCAGCTTTAATTAGCCAGGAGGGGCACAGGTCAAGGCTGCACGTGGTTGGGCGTACAGTTGAGATCAATCTGTCAACTTCCTCTAAGCTGAGTGGACTGAAATAATCCAGAATGGGACCAGAAGACGTGCTTGGAGCCTCAAGTTCATTCACTGTCTCAACTGTGGCAGGGAGGTTGCGGCGAAGCGACAAGACTTTATCTGCAAAATAGCTCGCAAAAGCCTCACAACCAATATCCCATTCCCTAGTGTTTCATCTGCCCTGCAGCAGAACTGTTAGGGACCAAATCGTTCTATACAATTGTGCCAGGCGTGAGCTAACAGACGCAGTCGTGGCTGCATAGAACTCCCTCTTCGCAGCTTTGACTGCCACCTCATAGGATCTCATAAACGTCCTATAAGATGCTCTTGTTGCTTCGTCACAAGCACGCTAAAATACGCTCACCATCCAAATAGGGTTGGGGTGAAACATTCACGTGGGTCCTCAGGGCATGGTGGTCCGACCATGGAACTACCGTAGCAGTAATCCGGTCCACTTTAACCTCCGCTGCAAAGATCAAATCAAGTGTGTGACCGGCTTGGTGAGTGGGGGCCATTACATATTGGGAGAGTCCCAGCACCGCCATGGACGACACCAGGTCCACCACCTGTGAGGAAGTCGCATCGTTGGCATGGACATTGAAGTCACCCAGGACTATCAGTCTAGGGTGCTCCAATGCCCAGCCCGACACGGCCTCCACCAGGGATGACAGGCTGTCAGGGATGTTGGGCAGTCAGTACACCAACCAAACAGCCAAACTCTCCCCTGCTTCCCACACAAAGCCAGCACACTCAATGCCTGTGAGCCTCGGCGCTGGGAGCGCCCTGAAGGAGTAAGCCTCCCCAACGAACAGAGCTACTCCGCTGCCCCCCCTGACCCATAGTCTAAGATTGGTGAAGGATCGAGAACCCAGGTGGAGCCAAATGGGAGAGAGCAACTGTCTCCCCATCTCGTACCCAGGTCTCGGTCAGGCACGCTAAGTCCGCATCCGGCTCCATCAGGAAGTCACGGAGGACTGAGGTCTTATTTTTGTTTATTTGTATGTACCCTGCCTTTCTCCCCAGTGGAAACCCAAAGGAGCTAATATCATTCTCCTCTCGTCCATTTTATCCTGGCAACCAGGGCCGGCCCCAGCTTATTTTGCACCCTAGGCGAGGATCCCTTCTGGCGCCCCCCCCCCCATGCGCCCACCATTTTTCAAAAATAAATGCATTTTAGGAAGAATGAAAAACACAAGAATCAAGAAACTCCCAGAGTACGGGGCCAGGTGCAGTTTGGCGCCCCTAAGGGCCAGCCCGCTCTAGGCGATCGCCTAGTTCGCCTAGTGAGTCAGCCGACCCTGCTGGCAACAACCCCATGGGGTAGGGTTGGCCTAAGGCAGCAAGCTTCCATGGGAGGATGGGGATTCATACTCTGGTCTACCAGGTACTAGTTTGATGCTCTTGAACACTACGCTATACTGGCTCTCATCATTCATGTAGGAACTTTGATTTTTACTATGCACAGCTGGCTTTTTATCTCCATAACCTGAAGGCTGTAGATCACTGTTTGCTTTTTTCCAATATGCTTGGAACCCAAATGGGTCCTTACTGGAACAAGCAGCTTTGGTATGCAATAGATATGCCCTTTATGCATTTAATGAGTAAATAGTGTATTAGCATGCAAAATAGGAAGCAGCCCTAATGTCACAGATCTGTGGCTTATTAATTTATTATTATAAATTCATGTCTAGTTACAGCTTCCACTACTGGATGCAATGCACTGCAGGAATCCCCGCCCCCAGTTTAGGGAGTTGCAGGTGTACTATGAGACTGCGGTGGCTCAGAGGTTAAGACACTGATTTGCAGACCAGAAGATCGGTAGCTGGGCAGTTTAAGACCCTAGTGGCGCATGGTGGAGTGAGCTCCTGTCTCTGGCCCCAGCACCTGCCAACCTAGCAGTTGGAAAGTAAGAAATTGCAATTAGATAAATAGGTACCACTTCGGTGTGAAGTTAACAGCGTTCCACGCGCCTCGGCATTTAGTCGCGCTGGCCACATGACCACGGAAAAAGTCTTCGGGCAGCACTGACTCTTCGGCTTGGAAATTGAGATGAGCACTGCCCTCTAGAGTTGAATTCGACTGGTGTTTGAGCAAGGGAAACCTTTACTTAGGTGTACTGTGTGCTGAATAATAAGGCTGAGTCTAGACAGCCCAGAAATCAGGACATGCATTCTGTTTTGAAACTGATGGGGCAGGGCAGGGCCAGACCGCTCCAGTCTGAAGGAGAAACAATTTGCACATGACCATGCGCATCCTCGTCTGTACTACTGCTTCAAACGTGTGCCAAGCCCAGCCCTTCCCTGACACTATGTTTTGCAGTTCGGCCCAAGCCTTGTGCGAGCCCCCGTTGATATGTCAAATGGGAAACGAAAGGGGAACATTAACTGCTAAGGCGCACTCTCTTTAAAGTGGGCAACCACCAGGCGCCAGGTTGGAAGCAGCCTTCGGAAGAGAGTGCCTGGCGGAGGCTCCTCCGCTGCGCAACAGGAGGCGGCGGCTGACGGCTGACGGGGGTCCCGTCGAGTCCCCGGCCCGGAGCGCCACGAGGGCTGCCTGCGGCTGGCGGCGCGGGGCTGGTTGGCTGGCGGGGCTGCGCCCCCCCGGCCGGGCTGCAGGGGGAGCAGTGGCGGGGGGGGGGGCTCAGCCCCGGGGGGATGGGGGG